CCTTTTCTATATAGCCGGCCCCATTAAATCTCCCTCTCCAATTTAAATCCTTAACTCCACTTAAATCCTCTCTAATTTCCTCCTAAGCCACCGGCCCCATACTCCATTGGGAATAATTTGAAATTCAAATTATTCCCTCCCGTTCCCCCTTAGGAAAATTCTGAAATTAATTTCATATTCCTCCCAAAACCTCTCTCCATCCACCAAACCGTCCCCCTCTCTCTCCTTGGCCGCCCATCCCACTTGTCTCTTTCCCCTTGGAAACCCTACATTTCTTATGTTTTTGGAAACCAAAAGTAGAAGACAAGATCCTCCCTCCTCCTCATTGGTGTATGGCTGATCCTGAGATCGACCACGGCTTTGCCTACAACGCACAAGAAGAAATCGAAATCCTCCGTTCTCCTTTCTACAAACCGGATTGGGAGTACGACGAATCGGTGGAAAGCTACGTCAACCGCATCATTTATTGTCTCACCGAGACGATCGAGATTCAACAACCCAGCGTACCTTGGCTTCTTGTAGGACGACCACCAAGCCACTCATCGCCGGCTACCTTTCCAACAACGAAGATCCTAGGCTCCCTCTTCCTAGTGGTGATTTCAAGTCTAGTGTGGAGTATCATCATCTGCTAAACCCTAGAGCAGTTGAGTGAGAAACCCCTCAATGTGAACCTCTCATTATTAAATTACGGATTTATGTTATAAGCTATTAACATTACTCTTGCCTTTGTATTTGATTAAGAATGTCTTGGTTAATCTACATGTACTTCTTTGCCTAAGCAAGTGGAAAACTATGAATCCCTAAAATCTTTCTTTGTTTTGAAGCACATTTTATATGGGTAAACTTTTAACAATTTCTCTTATTAATCTCTCTCTAACTCCTGGTAGTTTCACATCACTTATCTCTCCAACCAACCTAAATTTTTCATGGTTCCCTCTTTATTATTTTTTCAAGACATTTTCTACTTATCCTGCATTGCTTTTGTAACGTATGAACAGGTTTTTGAAATACCATATGCTCATATAAAGCTAAGGCCAAATGGACAAAGATAATTGCATAGAGAACAAGCGACATTAAGAAAGAAGTACTGCATAAAGAAGAGTACTTATATGTTAATAGGGTCTTAAAACTTCCACCACCAAAATAGCACTCAACCGTAATAAATGAAAAATGAGAAATCATAACAAGAAAGCAGTATTAGTAACTCTTAGTCTTCATTGCAATATCAGGAAAGCAATATTAGCATTAGATCCTACAGAGTAAGGAAATGAGAAAAGAAAAAGAAAAGAAAAAAAAAGAGGATTCACGACCAAAATGTTTTAAGTAGTACAATCTAGCCCTAATATCAAAACAAAAAGGACAAACAGTGGCTCCACCTTGGGTCTTCAAGAGCTATGTATGCTTCAATGCTCAGTTTTGTAAAGAATAGCAAATGAAAAGAGAACCACTGGCTTGGAGCTAAAGACTTTAATGGATATAAGATTGAATGAAGTTTGGAAACTATTAATGAAGTCTGAACTTAAAAAAAAAAACTATTCGAAAAATTCCATAACAAATGAGTGAGAAGTGTAAATTGAGCTAACTGCTAGCAAATATTCTTATTTAGGAATCTTCTCTAATTCAAATCCCAGCAATAGTAGACGCAAGTAAATAGAACGAAAATAAAATAAAAAAATCAACTAAGAAATCTGGAAGCCAACTCGAAGTCTCCACAACAATATCAGGATAGCTATATTAGAATTACAACCTAGAAAAAGGAGTGAAAAAACTGAACACAAGATTCACCATATAAATTCTTAACTATGCTGCTCGGTTTTTTTCTGTAAAACAATCCACCAGACTAATTCATACATAACTGCTTACCTTGCAACTTAGTCCATTCTGACATTACATAAGAAAATGAATTTTCATGGTCCTTAGTAGGCACAGTAAGCAGTAAATTAATGAACTGGCTGACATCTGGAGAGCTGAAATGGACCTTGAAAATAAAAATAAAATAAAATAACAAATATCAGTCAAGAAACATATAAAAAAACAAAAAAGGTATTGACAGAAGAAGACACAAGGCCCAAATGGAAGTATTTCAAATTTACTTCCTGAAACATTATAGCTTTCTAGTTCACATTGAGATCACATGAAAATGACACAAGCTAAGAACCGTTGCAAGAAGAGAAAATTATCAAGGTTAAGCTGCATTTTGTTAGACATTTAAGTGTGAGAAAAGTTTAAGGAAAAGGAAAGAACAACAACGAGATCTATCCCCCAGAGTTTTTTTGTTGCCCTGTGAGATGATCCACTAGGAAAGGCATGCATTGGTTAGCAGCCTGCACAAGCTAAGTCAGCAAAAACAGTGATAAAGAGAATCTTGGGATTGTGTAGGAAGAAATAGGTGTTGGACTGTTGGGAGAGTCATAGGTGCTCAACAAAACTTCGCTACCCAAATCCTTACTTTAATCACGATATTTTTGGGGGAAATTTTATGGTTTTTTTTAAACGCAGTAAAAGTTTCGTTTCCATCATTTTCAAACAGAAAAGGGAAATGAAAATATAACATCCTTTGAATTAGCAAATTCGTTATATGAAAGCTCAATTAGATGTAACAAAACATAAATCCATGCCTACAAAGATGAAAGCTAAACACAAGGAGAACAAAATCTAAAAAGATGAAACTTGAAAACATCCCAGGCCGAGCCACCAAATTCATAAGGTGATACAACAAAATAAAAATATGCAATGACTGGGGTAACATTTTGTGAAAACACAAGCAAAACTCCAAATATGGGAAAGAAATTTTCCCCAACAAAGTCGCCAAATTGCTCAAGGGAAAGGTGTTTTTTTTTTTGTGAAGCATGGGATGAGACATGAAATTGGGAGGATTGCTGACTTAGGATGATATCAATGAATCAAAATGGAGGATATATCTAGGATTAATATTGATGGGGGCATCGATAGGAGATTCCGACGCATTTATCAGAGACGACACCGGAGATCGACGGCCATGATGAAGGGCCTTTACTACTGATGACTTGTTGTATTTGCATTTCATATATTACTTGCTTATTTTCAGTTTTCCCATTTTACACTTGTGGGTATTAGTTTTCTCTTGTAGCCCAAGGGGCATTTTAGACTTTTGTACTTGCTTTCATTTGGAGCCTCTTTATATGGCTATTGTTTCTTATATGAGGTAATGAATTATTGAATAAAATTTCTACTTTGATCTCTTTGTGAGTTCTCCGTTTCCCTAGTTCTCTTTGTGAGTTCCGACATTGTTACAATCTCCCTTTGAGATCTTGAAGAAGAGGTGCACGAGGTTAGGAAATTCCAAGTTTTTCTCCACAGTTTTCATCCTGTTTCCAAGCCCTAGAATCCCCTCCCCACTTCTCTCTTGCCTCCGGCCCTGTAGTCCGGCTAGAAAATTGGTCGCTGGCCAATTGCCCCTCCCGCTACGAAGCCCCCCTGCCGATCCCCTCCCCCTCTTCCAGCAGCCACCCGTGGCCCCTAGCCCGCCGCCCAGCATCCACCTTGCCGCCGGCTTCCCATCTTGGACCCAAGCTTGTTTGAATTTCAAATCCTCAATTAAATCAATTTCCTAATTAGTCTTCATCTATTTAGGAGAGACATTTAAGGGGATTAATGCTCCTTTTGAAATTCAAATTCTATTCTCTCCTAATAAATCAATTTTGGGAGTTACTTAAGAATTAATCAAATCTGAAATTATAATTTCAGATTTGATTGGAATTATCTATTCAAACGTGGGCCCCACCTGTTAAATTCAAGCCTCTCTCTCCTTGCTCTATGGCCGACCACCCTTGACCATTAATTCTCTTTTCAATTACATTAATTGCTTCCCATTAAACCTCTAATCCCTCACTAACCGTTGGCAATTCCTTTGGAAACTAATTTGATTTTCAAATTAGCTTTCCCCCCACTTCTCCCTAAAATCCACTCTCATAAATCTGAAATTGCTTTGGTCTGAAGCTCTTCTCTCCTACCCGAGCTCCTCCTTGGCATTGACTTGATTTCTCCCACCCAAGCCATTCCTCCAACTACAGAAATCTGACATTATTTCATAGTTGGTGACCTTTGCTTCTCCTCCCAGCCTCTCCACCCTTCCCGATCTCCTCCCCTCTTGGAATTCCTTGAGGTGATTGCTCGTCTTCAAATCCATGGTTTATGGCGGATCCCGCCGTTGATCACGGACTCTTCTACGACATCTACAGAGTTATCCATGTCTTAAGATCTCCTTTCTTGGACGTGGGGTTTGGCTTCGACAATACCGTCGAAGAGTACTTGGATCGGATTTTACCAACACTAGTGGACTCCATCGACGACCAATTCTCCGACTACACGTGGATCATCGAAGGTCATTCCACTGTGCCACCTCCACCTCCGAGTTCCTTCTCCTCGGCGACGCTCATTGGATCCTCCCTCCTCGTGGCAACCTCACTTCTAGCTTGGACGATCTTCCGCCGCTCAACCTAGTTTCGTAGGAAAGAGAGAACAGACCTCAAAGTGAACAACTCTTTATTAATCATTGGATTCAAATCACTAGCTTTTAACTTTACGTTTCCCTTTGTATTGGCTTAAAGTGTTTGGTTAATTTTCCTTGTAATTCCTTTGCCTAAGCAAGTGGAACACGTCGAATTCTTGTAGCCGATTTTAATTTGAAGCATGATTATATAAACGGTTAAGCTATTATTCAATTTCCTTTTTATCTTGTGTAACTCAACTCATTCATCACATCAAATATAATCTACAAACTCATGAAACCAATCTATCAAACATATAAATCCATGGATTATCCCATCATTTGAATCAGTTCCGGGAGTTGAGGTTTACCAAAATAACCTTGGTGTAATTAGTGTAAGAAACTGAATCATTACAAGGAAACTTGTTGACAAACCAACAAATTGGAAACAAAAGCCACGGTTCGATACAGACAGCAAAGCACATGTAGCTTCCTCTGAGAGTGTTCATATTCTTAAGCCTAGCCCATTTAGCAAAGAGCATATGGATTTGCTGCAAAAACTGTTTAGTTAAGTTGATAGTGGTGGCATTACTAGTATAAGATTGTTTGCATAAACCAAGGTTGTGAAAATCTGACCAGACATTGAAACGAAAGTAGAGTTTCAAGATTCAATGATTCGACCTCGGTTAAATCAGATGATGTAATAAATATAAAAAAAAATTTAAATAATATTTAAATAAAATAAAAACGGTAAAATAATCATGCAATAATATAAATTTTTTATCAAAAATAAAAAAAATAATCATACATAAATAATAATTTCTCTAATTTTAAATTTAAACATATTTAATTTTTAAATACGCACGTTTAAATATTCACATACTGCATTCACTACTAATAGAGGAGAAATAAAGTCGAGGATAGTCGACATTGGTGCTTTTGATCACATGACAAGAGATGTTGACCTTATCCAAAATTACAAGCCAAGTAATGCTCATTCATTCGTCCATATTACTTATGGTTCAAGTTCTCATATTACTGATAGTTCAAATTCTAAAGTTGCTGGAACAGGTTCCATTCAATTTACTAAAAAATTGTATCTCAACTCTATCCTCCATGTTCCAAACTTGAATTGTAATCTTTTGTACATTAGCAAATTGGCTCAACAACCTTCAATGTGTTACTAAATTTTATCCAAACTTGTATGTTTTTCAGGACATGAAATTGTGAAAGATGATTGGCAGTGCTGAACTGTGCTCCAGGCACTATCTCCTCCCATGTCACAGATCCTCAAACCAAGTTTCTCAAACAAGTTGCATCCAATCTTAGAGTCTGTTAGAATCTTTCAATTATGTGTCCAATTCCAATGTCAATAAACATAGTGATATAATATTGTTACAATATCAACTTGGCCATCCTGGCTTTATATATCTTATAAAATTGTTTTCCAAATTATTTATCAATAAAAGTCTAGCATCTTTTAATTGTGAAACTTGTCATATGGAGAAATAAACTCCAACATTATATCATCAAATTTGATACAAACTTTCAACTGCCTTTTCTTTGATCCATAGTGATGTGGGGCCCCCCTCAATGAAAAAAAGAGTTACTGACACTCAATGGTATGTCTTATTTGTTTATGATCATATAAGAGTAACTTGGGTTTTCCTTATGAAAGAAAAGTTAGAAGTCGAGCAAATTTTTCAAACCTTTAATCTTATGGTTCAAAATCAATTCAACTCTAAAATTCAGTTGCTCAAGTCACAGACAATGCTAAAGAATACTTCACTAGTAGTCTCAATACCTATCTTTAGAACCATTAGATTATCCACATAAGTTCTTGTGTTACATCCCTCAACAAAATGGAATGGTTGAACGCAAGAATAAACATTTCTTGGAGGTTGTTCGGTGTCTTATGTTTTCCTTTAATGTTCCAAATTATTTCTGGGGGAAAGTCATTCTCACAGCTACTTATTTGATCAATTGTATGTCATCTAGAGTCCTTAATTTTGAATCTCCACATCATCTTTTTTTTGAAATTTTTTTCTTACATCACTGCAACATCATCTGATTTACCACTCAAGGAATTTGGTTGCACGACATTTGTTTATGTATGTCCTCAACACCATGGCAAATTTGATCCTAGAGTCAATTAGTGTAATTTTCTAGAATACTCTATAAGTCAAAAAGGGTACAAATATTATTATCCAACCAACAAAAATTTTTACACCACCAAGGATGTCTATTTCTTTGAACATTTATCCTTCTATCTTAAATCTCATGTTCAAGGGGAGAGCATGAATGAAAATTAAATTTGTGAGTTCCTTCTTGAGTATGTGTCCTTTGTCCACTCAGAGCCATCGAGTTCTTCTCAACTTGTGATTGTGCCAAAAGACAATACACAAGACTTGTCCACACCCATGCATGTTCAGTCATCAGTCCAGCCCACAAGTATTTCTTTTCCCATACCTGCTCAATTTGTGGCTCCACAACTTGTTAATGAGAATTTTCAAGTCTACATCAGGAGGAAAAGACGGGATCTAGAGCACATATCACAACCAGCATGTGGATAAGATATTGACTCAATTTCAATTTCACCTTAAGAAAATATAGGTACGAATAAGGCTAGAGATGTGCCAATTCCCAACATCGATGACTCTACCCTGCTGATTGCATTGAGGAAGGGTGTTAGGCGATGTACAGGTCATCCAATTGAAAATTATGTTACTTATGAACCGCTATACCATCTTACAGAGCATTTGTTGCTTCTCTTCATGATATTGAGGTTCCTAACACAACACAAGAGACATTACAAAATTCAGAGTGGAAGAAAGCAACATAAGATGAGATTGATGCACTTGAAAAGAGTGAAACATGGACTATTATTGATTTGCCAGCTGGAAATATGCTTGTGGGGTGTAAGATAATTTTCACTATAAAGTACAAAGTAGATCGATTGGTTGAGAGATTCAAGGCTTGATTGGTAGCTAGAGGATTTACACTCATATGGGATAGACTATCAAGAAACTTTTGCTCCTGTCGCAAACATTAACACTATTAGAATTCTTCTCTCATTGGTTGTCAACCTAGATTAGTACTTGCAACAACTGGACATAAAAAATGTATTTCTAAATAGTGACCTTGAAGAGGAAGTCTACATGAAAACCCCACCTGAGTTTGAAAAAAGTATGACACAGAATCAGTTTTGAAAACTCAAAAAGTCCTTGTACCGCCTTAAACAATCCCCCCAAGCTTGGTTTGACATATTCACAAATGTTGTTTTGAAGCTAGGTTACATACAGGATCAAGCAGATCATACTCTATTTGTCAAGAAATCTCACGCGTGGAAAATTGTTATATTGATAGTTCATGTCGATGATATTATTCTATCTAGGAATGATGTGGAGGAATTACATAATTTGAAGAGGTCTTTGTCAGAAAATTTTGAAGTTAAAGATCTTGGAAATTGTAAATATTCCCTTGGAAAGAAGTAGCTAAATCAAGAAAGGGCATTAATTGTTTCTCAAAGGAAATATATTCTAGATCTTCTAGAGAAGACAACTATATTTAGATGCAAACATGTTGATACTCCAATAGACAGTCGGAAAAAACTTGACAAAGAGAAAGAAAGTACATCTGTAGATAGTGGGAGATATCAAAGATTTGTTGGATGTCTGATATATCTTTCACACACTCGGCCAAATCTTGGTTTTACAGTGAGTGTTGTAAGTCAATTCATGCACAATCCTACAAAGGAACACATGGAAGCAATCAACAGGATTCTTAAATACTTGAATATGACACTAAGGAAAGGCCTATTTTTTAGAATGGCAGAGAATCATGACATTGATGTGTATTTAGATGCAAATTAGGCAAAGAAACATCATTGACAGAAGATCAACTTCTAGGTATTGTTCTTTTGTCTGAGATAATCTTGTTACCTAAAGGAGTAAGAAGCAATCAGTGGTAGCCAGAAGTAGTGCAGAAGCTGAGTGCAAAGGACTAGCACAAGGAATTTGGATTAAAAAAAAAACAATCTTAGTGAACTAGGACAAATGAGTTTATTTTTTATTCTAATGATGTGTGATAATCAGCCAGCTATCAACATTTCTAAGAATCCCATGCATCATGACAGGACTAAGCACAGTGAAATTAACATACACTTCATCACAGAAAAGATGAGTAGTGAGACTATTAAATTGAAATACCTCCCTACCAAGTAACAAACTGCAGCCATCCTCACCAAAGCTCTACCTATACCAGATTTTGAAGACTTAATTTACAAGTTTGGATTATATGATATATATTCTCCAGCTTGAAAGGAAGTGTTGAATATTTGAAAATTGAAGTTAGGGAAAGTATTTTAAGAATAAAATGAGAGATCTATTGTGATCTCCTATAATTTTATTTCCTAATTTTTTAGAAAAAAATAATCTCCTATGATTTTGTTTCCTAATTTTTTTTGAAATAAACTAATTAATTATTTCTTTTATTAGACACTTTTTAGTGTGTGTGTACCATTTTTTTAATAAGAATAATGAATTAAAATTTTCAAGGATTGTTACCAAACTATGTGGAATTATCTGCTTGTTTCTTACTCTACATAAACTTCATGGGTAAATCTTGCACGTCTAATATTTTACATGCTGCCTTTGTCATTGACTTAGTTTATCGCTAGAAAAGGTTCAAATTGAAGGGAAGCTCTTTATTTTTTTCCGGATCTTAATTTTCTAGGGACGAAATTAAAAAAATGTGTTACACTAGTTAATAGTGTCCTCATTATGATGCGGGCAAAAAATCCAGGGGATGGGGCACCCGAGGACCTCCGCCCACAGAAACGACGGGAACACGACTACAAGCTCGTCAAATGAGACGAACAAACTCTTACATTCAAATAAAACTAAGACTTAGAAATTTAAGAACAAAATTACAACAACAAATTGAAATTAAACGACTTTCAAACTCAAATCGAAATTAAAGACACCCTAAACTTGCTTCACTTAGAGAAGAATGATACAGATGGAGTGGCACTTGCGGAGAGACGAAAGAGGTTAGAAGCCAAGACGAATGTTGGAAAGAGCTCGCAAGATTTCCGGAGGGGATGAGAAAGAAGGTTGACAAAGCTCGCAAGCTTTTCCAAGCAAACCCGCAGGTTATAGCTTTTCCAAAAATAACATATCATTCACCACTTAAAACAATACATAACCCCTCATATTTATGGGTATGAAAGGGGAATACCAAAAGACAAAACATTGAATCCACATAGGAATTCCAAACATTACAAGCCATAAAAAACCTATTGCTTTTCACGGAAAAACAGCCCAGCTGAGGAAACCGAAGGAGCAACCACGGGAACCAAAGAGGCCGCACGGAACCAAGGCGCCAAAGCCACTAGAAAACCCCTAGGCACGGAAAACCAGCAGCCGGTCGGAAATCCAAGGAGCCATGGCACGGAAAACAGCTGCCCACCGTGGAAGTCAAGGAGCCTCGGCATGGGAAAATAAAGCAACTTTTTTGGGATTCCAAAAGCCCTTTTGGAAAACCAAGAGACTAACTTAAATGAAGACATTAAAAACTATAATAAAAGTACATTAATTAAAAGATAACTACGAACTAAAATGTTAGCTAATAATGAGCTAACCCTTAGTTCAATAAGTGAACTAAAGACCTGCTCATAAATGAGCTAAAATTTCAGCTCAATTTGATTGAGCTTGTAAACTCAAGGGAAGCAAAAATTGATTTATTTGGACATGAGTTGACTCCCCCTTTGCCTACATCACATTAAACAAAAACCTGTACATAATCTTCATTAATAAGTTAAAATATCCTTAATATGATCCCTACAACAATAATATTAGTTACATCTTGGTAAATCTGATCGATTATTGACAGTTTTCATTACCATTTTCTAAATCACAATCATTGTATTTCATTCACTAATTTTTTCTTAGATGCCAAACAGTTTTAAGAGGATAAGAGAGATTTCATTTATTAGCTATCAGACAAATTAATGGATTAACATTAAAGGTATTAATAGACTGGAGGATTCCTAGATTAAATAAATCAAGGTTTGTTCAGTCCTGCTAGCAACCAAACAAGCCCAAAACTACAAACTTGCATGTGAGACCACTTCATTTCATCAGCAATTTTTTCTCAAGCTAAACTATATAAGCACTTCAGAAAAAAGAATAGTTATTCAAACGCTTTATTTATTAAAGGAGTTCATTAGCCATACACAAGCATAAATGTTGGCACCCTCAAGAAATAAATTAAAGAATCAATTATTAACGAAGGAAAACAGTTAAAAAGAAATTGATAATTGACACTGTTCAAAACTTAACTTTTAAAAAGCACTAAAAGAAAATAAAATATGAATTAGAAAGTAAAAAAATTAACTGAACAGTGTTGGAATGAGAATAAACAACCCAAAAAGAGAAAGGGATCATTGAAAAGATACTTGCCAGTCTAGCCAGAACAACTATAAGAGAACATTTTAGCCCTGCTATTTCACTAGATTGCATGCGTCTCACCACAGCAGCAACAAGCTCACGTATGTGGAAGGCCATTTCTGATGGAAAATGAAATATAAGCTGCAACACATAGTTACCCACAAAAAGTGACCCAGAACTTTCCAGATTAGGGTCCAGCAGCCTGCAGAAAATAAACTTGTTCACAAAAGTAAAATAATAAAAATAACATCCAAATGCAGCAAAAAACCAGAGAATTATATTCAACATACAATTAACATCTGAACAATTTTAATTTCCCAATTGTAATGATAAGTACAAATCAGAGGAAAGCAGTGGTTTTAAACTAAAATATATAATTCAATGGGGAAGATGCCAAGCAATCTCAACAACTCTATCAAAAGAATAATTTAGGCATTATTATTTAGTAGCGGACCAGGCAATCAGATTTGCATGTTAACTTCCACAAAACCAAGTAATCAAATCATAGATAAACATTTTTGCTTCTTACTACAGAAATAAAGATTAGGCATACTGAGTTACAAGTAGACAGTGCAATCAGATTTCATTATTGATGCATTCAAAAAATTATTATTTTACGTTTTTTTAAATGTTTTGGACTCTGTTTTTTTTTTTTATTTGTATTACCCTATGATGGAAAACAACCAATGATCATGCTTGGATTTGGTGATCTTCGGTAGGTTCAAGTCAACTTTGTGCTTAGCCAAACTCACTCAAATAAAGTTCAGCTCCACTAAAGTTTAATATAGTACCTAGCATCTACAATATAATTCAAGATAATGCTATTAAACATATCAAAACAGAAAATTCAAAATTTAGACACAAATCAACATCAGCTGGAGTCAAATTTTTTAGCTTTAGTTTTGCCTCAAACAACCTTTCACAATTGAGCGAACCAAACTCACATGAATATGGTTCGACTCAACTCAAAATGTAATTGTATATAGAATTTAATCAATATCAGTTCAGAAGTAAATCAAAATCGTTTTTGAGTTGACCTAAAATTGAAGAACTTTGAATTGAGCCTATCTGACTGGAATCAGTTTCAATTCCATGTGAGTTTAAGCAAGGACCAAAATCTTCTGAAGCTAAAATTGAATTCATATCAGCCCTAATCTAAGGTGATCAAAGTCACCAATTCATCAACATCACAAAGCTTTTACAGACTATTGCACGAGCTGGAGATGACCCATTAGTTTAGTTTTGGAACATTGATAGTCTAGTTCACAAGAATAATCCCATCAAGCCTCAGCAGTCCAAGAGCCTTCCCATCCCACATAACAAAAAATATGATTAGACAAGGCCGCGAAGCCATGCAGATGGTTACAGAAGTAAGCTAACCGATCAACATACAGAGGGTATAAATATGTTCTCTTTTTCCACCAAGAGAAGTCAACAATTATGCATTCTTCCTGTCAAAGGTATGTCAATCCTTGGTGTTCTGTTCTCTTCATGATCTGATGTGGACACACTCTCCTAGTTCCTTCTCAGGAGACTTTTCTCAGACTCTACAACCACTTCATAGTCCAAGAATGGCACTAGAATGTCTCAATAATGCTTTCCCTACAAAGATGAAGCCAGCATAGGAAGATTCACTGAACTCTTTTCAACAACCACCAAACTTCTCGACCTGTGATGGGCCAAATTCAACATCCAATGTCCCAACTAGTCCTCACTTCTCTCCGTAACTTCACACCCAAATAATTTATTTGGCTTGACATTTTCAATCCAAATCAAAATCAATTGGCATAGAATATTACAAGATTCAGAAGTATTTATGAAAAATGACAACTTTTAATTTGTACAGGCAACCAAAAAAAGTTAATCTAAAGTTAATGTTCGTTATATTCATTTTATTATTCAACGTTCCTTGCAACTCCCAAACTGTATCTCAATATTTCCATGGCATATTGGCTTCAAACAAGAACAGCATTACCACTATCAAATCTTAAGGGTTCAGGAAACATCAAGTTTAAATTTGCAGTTGTTCTTTGGGCATTTTAAAACCAAGTGCTTGCACTACGCAAATGCTAGTAAAGACTGCAGGAAATGAGGAGTTAAAAACATGGATACAACCGAAAATGCTGGAGTTCAAAGAAAAAGTTTCCAGACTCCATGAAAAAAAAAAACTTTCCATAGACTCTACCTTGAAGCTGCATCAAGAAGCCTTTTCATTGTAAAAGATGGATCACCATTCCAGGAAAGCAACTCATGCTTTCCAGCAGCAAGAAATGCTGCCAAACATTCTGTTGCATTCTGCGCACACAATCCAGATAGAGAAGCAAGCATTAACAAGCATGAAACATGCACTCTAAGTGGACTTTGTTTTAGGATCTTTGGATGTGGTTGAAGCTTAGAAAGCAACAAGATTAGCTGCACAAACAGAGTTCGGTAAAGACCTGCATTTCACCGTGATCATCACTTTCGAGCACTACTTGGATGGTAGAATTAAAACATCTATCAAAAACAGCCTTCACAACTTCAACTGGCGCGCTCTGAATAAAAAAAAAAATCTTATTGTTCACACAGGATGCAAATATATGCTGTAATTGACAGAAATACCAAATAAAAAAGAAATCTGATACTGGGACTTTAAACATACTTTCAATATCATTGTTAAAAGATCAAATGAACCTGCAAGCAATCCATCGGGCTGGTTTCTTGGCTGACAAAAGTACCCAAAAAAAGTTTATTCAAAGAGCAAGAGTTTGGAAAACAGCAGCTAGTGAAGATATCTTCTTCATGCATCTTAAAAAACGCACATTTTCTAATATAGAGGCAATGGATGGTAAGATCCGGGAGACCAGAGGCTGCATACATCCAGGAGCATCTTTGATAGCCTGAAAACTGGGAAGTTAATCTATGATGTTGAAGTCACTTACATGAAAGAATCAAATCAAACTAATCCAGTCAAAGAAGTTCCACAAACGCATGCAGCAATATGATTACTTCCAAAAGGCTAAGAAAACAGAATCCTTCAATAAATCCAATTAACTCATTGGCTGGGTGTAGTGCTCAGGCCCATTTATATAATCTTATTCTTCAAACTAATTTTTTTTTAAACTGGTTATCAATTAGAACAAGCACCTTCCAAGAAAAGTCCGAATCCTTAAATTATTGAAATGATGCAAGTAGCTGAAAGAAGAAGAAGAAGAAGAAGAAGAAATAGATTTAATCAACCATTCCACACGAATAAACAGCAGCTAAGTATGCAAATTGCCAAATTCCAGGACCTTATATTCTGAATGCCTCCAATAAAATTGAGACATGTTTGGAAAAATAAATAAAATTGAGATTTATAGAATTTCTCTAACGCTCTCCCAAGAAGCAAGGTTTTGGACATTTAGGCTTTGAACAAGAAAATGATAGGAAATACTTGAGTTTGCAAGTAATCCGATCGGATTTACTTGAGTTCGCAAGCAAACCTAATCAATAATTAGTAAAACAGCGAGAAAACGAAATAAACGTGGTGGAAGAACGAACAAACAATAGCAAAGCTTATAATAATCAAAGGGAAACAAGAACAAAGCAAATATACAAGAGATCCTCAATTCGAGAGGAGGATCATCTCTCCCAAATCTCTAGACAATCCTCCAAGAAACCCTAATTCCAATCAATCAAAACATAATCCTCCATAATTCCCTCATGCACTTTAATACCGAAACCTTCCTAATCCAAATTCCCTCCTAAACGCCTAGCCTCTCCCCCTCTATTCAATTTTGAAAATCACATAGATGGGCGGGCCCCATCTATTTGGTGGAACCAGAGAGGGGGGCAGCTTTGTTCCGCCTCATGTAGTGGAATTGAGCCAACCCATTAGCCGGTTGGGCCGGCTCTATGTGAACCGGCGTAACAATACCGCCCTCCCAAAGAATCACCTTGTCCTCAAGGTGAAAATCTGGGAATTGCTATTTTGTCCTCTCGTATAGCTCCCACGTGGCCTCGTAGTCAGGTAGGTTCTTTCACTGGATCAACACTTCCTTAGTTCTGTCTTCTTTTTGGCGAACTCCCATCAGCTCTAAGGGTTTCAGAAACACCTCTAAATCCTCAGTGAGTATCGCAGGTAGCTCGGGGTTGGCAATGTAGTCATCAATGACCTTCCTGAATTGCGAGACATGAAAAACCAGGTGTATCATCGCCGATGGTGGTAATTTCAGTCGATATGCCACTGCCCCAATCTTCTCCAGCACTTCATAAGGCCCATAGTACTTAGGAGCCAGCTTTTCATTCCTCCTGTTAGCGACTATCTTCTGCTTATATGGTTGGAGCTTCAAAAACACCTTCTCCCCCACTTCAAATTGGATGTCCTTCCTATGCCCATCCGCTTGTTTCTTCATAATTTGCTGAGCTCTAAGTAAATACCTCTTCAACTCCTTTAGCACTCGATCCATCTCCTCCAAGTATTCCTCTACTAAAGACACGGGAGTACTCTGCTCCCGTACAACACCTTGAACGGGATCATCTGTGAAGCAGAATGAAAAGATGTGTTGTACAGTACTCCGCCCATGATATCCATTTAGCCCAAAGCTTGGGTGTCTCTGACACAAAGCATCTCAGGTACAGCTCCAAGCTCCTGTTGACTACCTCCGTTTGGCCATCCGTATGTGGGTGGTAAGTTGTACTCCTCTTCAGAACTGTCCCCTGCTGTCTGAACAACTCTCTCCAAAAATGGCTGAGGAATACCTTATCTCTATCTGATATGATCGCCTCGGGTACTCTATGTAACCTGACCACCTCCCTGATGAAGGCTGAGGCCACTATCATTGTTGTGTAGGGGTGTCGGGGGGGAATCAAATGTGCATACTTGCTCAACCTGTCCACCACCACCAAGATCACCGTGAACCCCTCTGAACGGGGCAACCCATCTATAAAGTCTATATATATCTCATCCCATACCCGTCATGATAACGCCAACGGCTGTAGTAGTCCCCCTAGTGACATAGCCAGATATTTGTTCCTCTAACAGATCTCACACCTCGCCACCATCTCCTCTACATCTCTATGAATTCCCTTCTAGTAAAGCTCAGCCGCCAGTCTCCTGTAGGTCTTTTGCACTCCTGAATAGCCCCCAACCGCGCTTCCATGAAATTCCTGAAGTAAATTTGGGATGTGGATCGAGGTACGGGGCATCACAAATCTCCCATGATACAGTAGTCTGTCTCCCTCCAATGAGCTTCCTCTTCCAATAAATATGCCCTGATCCTTCCCAAATCTTCATTCTCCACAATGAAGATCTGAGTGAAATCTGGCAAAGCTAGGACCGACATCATAGTCATCACCTTTTTCAAGCTCTCAAATGCTGATGTGGCCGTCTCCCCCTATAGGAACCCTTCTCCAACTGCTCAGTGAGTGGCCATGCTATGGAGCTGTAGCCCTTAACGAACCTCCATTATTAACCTGTTAGTCCAAGAAATCCCCTCAGCTCCTTCAGATTTTTAGGCATTTGCCACTTTAACATTGCCTCAATTTTGGACTGATCTGCTACCACCTCTTGTTTTGATACCACATGGCCCAAGTACTCTACAACATTTCTTTAAATTAGCCCTCAGCTGGTGCTCCTGCAGTACCTCTAACACACTTTTCAAATGCTCCCAGTGCTCCTCCTTTGTCCTGCTATAGATCAGGATGTCGTCAAAGAATGCCAATACAAATCGTCTGAGATAAGGTTTGAAAACCTTATTCATAAGGGCCTGAAACATAGCGGGAGCATTGGTGAGGCCAAATGGCATCACCAGGAACTCATAATGTCCTTCATGAGTTCTAAAAGCTGTCTTGGGTACATCCTCCTTCATCCGGATCTGATGGTAACCTGATTTCAAGTTATCTTGCTGAAGATCATGGTTCCACTCAATTCATCTAACAGTTTGTTAATGACTGGTATAGGAAACTGGTCAGGTACAGTTTCCTTGTTGAGTGATTTGTAGTCCACACAAAAACGTCAGTTGTCATCCTTCTTTTTTACCAACAGAACGAGGCTAGAGAAAGGGCTGATGCTGGGTCTGATGATCTCTGCCTCCAGCATCTCTCTGATCAACCTTTCAATTTCATCCTTCTGGAACTGAGGGGAACGATAAAGTTGTACACTGATGGGTGACACTCCATCCTTCAACACGATGGCATGCTCCTGCTCTCTCTGCGGTGGCAATCCTTGAGCTGGCTGAGAAACCTCTTGGAACTGCTGAATCAACGACTAAATGGAGAGGGGTGTCTCCTCCCTCCTCCAATCTCGCTCCCTCCAAACTGTGCAGTTCCACCAAATACCCTCCGCCCGCCAACTAAATGTCCCTCACCATCGTTTTAAGATAAACCAAGGATGGAGAGCCCTGCATCTCCCTTCATCACCACCTTCCTTCCATCCACCATCAACTCCATCGTGAGTGCTCCCTAATTCACTTTGGTGTCTCCCAAACTTTGCTGTCATTTCATCCTCAGGATGACGTTAGTACTCCCAAGCTCTAGCGAAAGGAAATCTTCCCTCACATGTATCCCCTGGATCGTCAGTCGCACTCCTCTGCAAATCCCCTGACCTTTCTCCACCTTCCCCGTACCCATCATCACCTCGTAACAGCCGATATCCACCAATCTCACTCCTAGTTGGTTGACGACCTGGGTGAAAATAAAATTGTGAGTAGCCCCAATATCAATCAACACCACCACTTCCATGTCCTCTATCTCTCCCTTCACCTTCATGGTGTGATTCAAAGTGAACTCTACCACTAAGTTCAGGGAAACCTTAACTAGATCCAAGTGTAGCTTCTCATCCATCTCCTCCTCCATCTCCTCCTCACCTCCCTCAGTTTCCTTGTCATCAAAGACGGTGAAAACCTGAAGAGTTCGGTCCTTGCACCGATGCTCTGGCATGTACTTTTCATCGCACCTGAAGCACAACCCCTTAGCCCTCTTCTCCTGCATCTCTTTCTCCGTCAGCCGCTTGAAATTTCCCCGCTCCCTCCTCCTGTCTTCTCCTTGGTGGCCTTTCGGCTCCCTCCTGTTGCAGGACCTTTAGGTGCTAGATGAGTGGTCTTCATCCTGTAAGTGCCCCCGGTGCTGCTACTCCTAGCTCCCCTCTCCAAATTCTTCTGATTTTCCACCAGTTGGACCAACTTCATGGCCTCCCACAAATCACAGGGCATCAAAACCTTCACTGCTGCTCGGATCTCCGCCTTCAGCCCTTTCATGAAATTTTCCTCTAATACTGTATATGAGAGTCGCTCCACCCTGCTAGCTAGGTGCTCAAACTGCTCCCGGTAATCTGCTATTGATCCCTCCTGTGTCAGAGCAAAGAACTGCTCATAGAAGTCTCCTCCCCGATCGGTTTGTAAATGCTCTATTATGCAGTCTTTGAATTCCCTCCAGCTCCTGATCGGCCTCCCCATTGAACCCACGATAAGACTTTTCCTTCCAAGAACAATCCGGCTGATATCAGCTTCTCCTCCTCCATCAACCCATTAACGGCAAAGTACCGCTCTACCTTGTAAATCCACCCATACACGTCTTCTCCTTCAAAAATGGACATCTTTAACTTCCTCACCTTCTAGTCGCCACCATTTCCCCTGATCCTTCAATAGTTTCCCCTCTCCCAAGTGTTAGGTGCGCCCCATGTTTCCCAGTCTTCCCTTGCTCTGTCATAGCCCCAACCCCCTTTGAAATCCCCCATTCTTTCTTCAAAATCAGCACCTCGGCGGCCGTAGTATCCCTCCTGGCGTTCCCCATACCCACCTCCCCTTTCTTCCCTCTCGACTGACTCCAGATGGGGTATTCTTCCTTCTCCTTCCATGATTTCCACCCATCTTCCTCCCTACGAATTTCAGAATTCGTACTTTTTTCTATCCATTCTTTTCGCCACCGAAGCCGCCGTTTGGTTTTGAATTTCTAACATCTTTTTCATCATGTCCCATAGATCGACAACTTGCCCTTCCATGGAGGAAATCCTTTCCTCTACCGTCATTTTGATTTGATTCATCTCACCTTCAAGCCTTTCCTCCAGAGCATCCACCTTTTTGGCAGCCATCACAATCTAAAGTTTGTAAAAACAAAAAAATCTGGATTTGGAACTCCAAAAACAACAATCTCCCTTCCTTCCAGGCAAAAAATCGCCGCTGAAATTAGCCGAAAACAGCCCTCCACCGGTCTCACGACTTGCTCTGATACCAATTTGATAGAAAATACTTAAGTTCACATGTAATTTGATCGGATTTACTTGAGTTCGCAAGCAAACCTAATCAATAATTAGTAAAACAGCGAGAAAATGAAAGAAACGTGGTGGAAGAACAAACAAACAATAACAAAGCTTATAATAATCAAAGGGAAACAAGAACAAAGAAAAGATACAAGAGATTCTCAATTCGAGAGGAGGATCGTCTCTCCCAAATCTCTAGACAATATTGTCTAGAGCTCAAGCCTCCAAGAAACCCTAATTCCAATCAATCAAAACATAATCCTCCATAATTCCCTCGTGCACTTTAATACACAAACCTTCCTAATCCAAATTCCCTCCTAAATTCCTAGCCTCTTGCCCTCTATTCAATTTTGAAAATCACAAGATGGGCGGGCCCCATATGTTTGGCAGAACTAGAGAGGGGGGCGGCTTTGTTCCGCCTCCTGTGTGGAATTGAGCCGGCCCATTGGCCGACTGGGCCGGCTCTACGTGAACCGGCATAACAGAAAACATATGTTATTTTATATTGCTTGTAGCAAATTTTCAATAGATTTAAACAGTCTTCTTTCCCTTCAATAAACTTCTTTAAGTGCAGCTCTTTCAGGGGAATTTATAAAAAATGGTTGGTCATACCAGGCTGAAACAATAAGACAAGTGTACTAGTGAAACAAAACAATTATTTTCAAGGTATGAGGTTAGTAGAGTCACTATCATGACTCTTTATCGCCCATTTAATTTGTCATTGTTACTTCCAATATCTTATTACATTATGCATCTAAGGTAAATAATGCATCTTTTTTGAACTATTAACAAGTGCTTCTTACTAAATATTATCAGTAAATGTCAGTTTTCTTTGACCATGCATTACTGAGTTTTGCGACAACCTTACAGCACAAAAACCTAAGTGCCATTAACAATACATTAAATTGTAACTCTTCAGTTTCAGAAACAATAACAAAAGCTACTTCCAACCATTCAATTAATGCAATAGCAAATGTCTGAAACACAATACTTGATCCATAATTGTGTAATATCTTTTTCTACATGCATGAATTCATGCCAAGCATGCAAGATCTGTTTGAATTCAACATCACCATCTGGATAAAGTACCTCCAAGACTTCCAAGGCCTCGATGCTAATGAATGGATCTGAAATGTGATGTACCCAGACATCAAGAATGACGGGAGAAATAACAGGCTCCATGGACCTTGATAGTTCATGGCCTACAATCATTGAAGTCATTGGAAGTAATTAACAAGGTAAGCATGGTTTGTGATTACTGATAATTCAACCCAAACTCCAAAAAAGGAAAAAAAAAAAAAGAGAGAAGTTGGCGAATATTAAGAACAGAAAAGCAAACTAACCTAATACATACCTGCCTTAATAGCTGCTTGAAGTGTTTCAAGCACAAGATGCAGTGTTTCATCAGATGCCTGTGCACATACATTACAGGGATAATGACATATAAGCATGCACAGGAAGAAAAGCAAAAGAAATTTTCTAAGACATTCTGATATGCCACCAGCCTAGGAGGGGCCGGCTGGACCAGTCCAAGTTTATACGAGGCGGGCCCACTTGGGCAGCGGAAAACAGAGAGAAGGGGGGAGCGGGATCTCTAGGTGGGCCATGCTTGGCTTAATTCATCTTAGGAGGGAAAATTTGAATGTGGGGAGCTGTTTTAGGAAGTTTGTAATTGTCCTTTGTGGTTAATTAGAAGATTGAGGGGAAATTGTTTCTCATCCTGAATTTGAATGATAATTTGAGATCTAGGGTTCTGACTTTGGGCTCTTGGCGTTGCCGGAGATTTGGAGAGTCGTTCTTCCTCTCGGATTGAAGAACAATTGTATCTTTACTATTGTGCTTTTGCTTCTAGTGGAATACAAGTCTCTACTTGTGATTTTCTCTCAGATTTTCCTAAAGTTTGCTGTTTTACTGCTGTGGACAGCAGTTTTGCTGTTGTGTTCTTATCGGATTGGGTTAGGATTGCTTGCGAACTCAAGTATTACCTTAGGGTTACTTGCGAACTCAAGTATTTCCTATCACATTCATAAAGTTCTTGGTTCTGGTTCAATGGTGTAATGATAATGAGTTTAACATTGAATATTTGGGATAAAAATACCTGCTTGAGGAGATCAATAAGAGATGAAAGTATGCACATTATATGAGGCTGAACCAACTCAGATTTAGCATCCGGTAGGACCTGAGATAAAACTTGACAAGCACCAACTTTTACAGGTGGTGGGCTGTCAATAAAACAATGTTCAAGGGCAATGAACTTTTACATTAAAACATGCCTCAAGTGGATAAGTGTTTCTTACACATCTAAAGCTATTGCTTGAGCAGCAGCATATAGGAACTGCTCGCGAACAGTCCGACCAATCTGCATTTACTCTCAAGGAATATGGATATTCAGAAACGACAATCGAACTGAATTTTCCTAAGATAAAATTATGTACGAATTACGATTACTACCACTGAGGAAAACTTCGAAACTACTGAAAAAGCTCTTGCATGTAGGAATGGAAATTCATACACAGCTGCAGTTGAAAATTTTGGAAATTAGTAAATAGAAGAGAACATTAAGAATTAGTTGATGACTAAAGAGGGAAAACAAAGAAAACTTTCACCTGTTCTTATGTCTTCTGCAACCATTTCATCCAGAAGACGACTTAAATTAACTTTTGTTGCTCCTGAATCCTAAAATAAATACAGCATAAATTCACTTTGGTTATCCAAAACACATATCTATTGATGCGGCACAAAGTTATGCGTCTTTTCTATTGTTATTTTATCTATTTTCAATTGCTTCGTATTTTCTTATATTTTTCTTTTGTTTCTTCTATTTGGTGGCAAAGTCAAAAATAAGACCTACTGCTAAAGGGAAAGGTATATCAAATCAAATTACAGTTGTATACTGTTTCCTTTTTACTGTTCTCACATGTCATGTGCATGGAGTGGTATCAGAACCACTACTTCCTTAAACAATGACCAATGAGAGGAGGATTCAAGGACCTAAATTACAGTTGTATACTGCTTCCTTTTTACTGTTCTCATATGTTATGTGCATGGAGTGGTATCAGAACCACTACTTCCTTAAACAATGACCAATGAGAGAGGAGGATTGCAAGGACCTAAAGGTAGGTGGGAGTAGAATCACTAACAGCAAACAACAACTAGAAAGCTCGAATGAAGCCTCAAAGGCATCAAGACCTATATTCACAGTCACACAGGATCTTAACTGTGTTGGTTATCAAAGAGGATGACAAAGCCTTGTGTGAAGTCAGTAGGAGGCAGCTTCACCAATCCAAGGCAAGGGGGATGATGAGGTTGCAGGCATCTGAAACAAAGAAGTGCAAGCAATGACCAGTGACCGCAATAGCAGGACGACCAATCCAAAGGCAAAGGCACGTGATGGCAAACCCATGTAACAATGAAAGATATCAACCTCCGTTTGTGTTTGGAAGGCGTAGCCGAATCCAGGAACCAATCCAACTACAGGAGTATGAACATGGCATTCGTGGCATCAATGGGCAATGGGCATCGATACAACAAAGAAGATTGAATACGGCAGCATGTGAAAGAATCAAGAGGATCAAAATGACATCGTTCCAAGTTCCAAATCCCTTCAATAGTCATAGTCAACACCATCAACAACAATTTGGCTACTACCAATGAATCCTACGGTGCAATGAATATTCATCCAACAAAGAGGATCATAATCAATTGGCTAATGATGCCCAGAAGTATGGCAAAATTTTCCAACATTTCAAGATGTGAATGGATTTGCCCACATTGGATAAATAATTACATGTTGAAGATTTTCTTGATTAAATTTATAATGTCAACAACATTTTCAATCACTTGAAAAAATCAAGAAAATTATTCAATGAAGTTGGTGGCTTACAAATTGACCACTATAAAGACGAATGACAGAATTTTAACCTCCAAATTAATGTAATGTATATTTTATTCTTTCTTTTCTTTTCTCTATTTTTGTTTGTTTTATATTTTTCAATTTTTTTTCTTTTTTCTTTCCTCTCTTTGTTAGCAAGCTTATGCATGGGACCTAAAGCTTAAGGGGACAAGATGCCCAATTAAGTTAGAGTTGTATATAATTTTCTTTTTTCTTTACGAACATATTGTCACAAAAGCACACGACTATATATATGTATGCATAGTTGGTTGAAAAAAGAACCACCTGTGCTTCAATGAGTTGTTCTGAAATTGAAGCCATTGCAAAAAAGGATGCCTCTCTCAACTGTTGCAACAAGGTTTGTAAATAAAAAATAGATTTAGTGACAACCGAGTAGTTTCAAAGAGTAAAATAGCTGAGATGAAAAGCATTAAGTTAATAGCTAAGATGAGAAGCATTAATTTTAAATGAACTAAACAATAAACACCAAACTGCCTGCACTGATGATTAAAAAAATATTCTCGATCATTTGATCAAAAAGATATTACAAAAAAAGTGAGAATTAACACAGGAATGGAAGAACTTTTTTTTCTTGTAGAAAAGTTGTTCATATTGTCACATTCAACATTATAACCATCAGCTAAAGTTTACCACAAATCAAATCTACTGCATCTAATACAACGCAGGAAAGGATAGGCAGCCAAGTTTCACCTAACACAACTAAAAAGCCCATAATGCAAAACTAATGCCGCAGATTGACATTTCCTGTAAATATGGTCAAGAAGCTTTTTGGTGATGAAGAAGAACAATGCACCAAAGGTAAAACAACTGCCTGAGAAGAAGATCCAAAACTTAGAGCAACTATCCAAAATATTAATACCTATAGGTTTGGGTTGAAACTGGATTTGCATATCCACTAACAAATCCAAGGGTTGGCCTGGAAAATTATGTTCAAGTTGCAATAGTTTCTTAAGGAACTTGATTTTTAGCTTTCCATTTTAACAGTTACCTTTCCCTTAAACCCTATTTGCATGTCTAGCATGATACACAAATGCTTATATCTCTCTTTTTTAGCAAACTAAGGAAACATGAACGAAACAATTAAAGGAATTATATGTACAATTTGTGCAATCGGGTTATAAGTAATTGAACATATTATTAGTCTGTAGGAACAAACAAAATATATAGACTTTCTAAAAAGTTTGAAAATATTGTGTTTGTTCATGTCTTTCAACTTCATGGAAAGAATTATCTCCTTAGGCATTAGGAATTATTTCAGATAAGGAAGATCACTTTTTTAACTTGCTGTAGAGAAGGAGTTTGCACTGTCATAATCATCAGCTAAAGTTTATCCCATATCATTCTATTAAAGTTTATAGGATGTAAGAGAAGATAGCCAACAAAGATTTTCGTTAGTTATTAAAATAAACATTTAAAACATCACAATATAAAAAAGAATCAAAGACTTTTTTTTTTAAGAGAAGAAGAGAAAAAAAGAATTAAAAACATGACACAACTGAACAGTAGATTGGCTTTCTTGCCATTAAGCATGAGAATTTTCTGCAAAAGAAGAGGGCAAATAAACCTAACGTAAAACAAACTGATAAAAAGAATATCAACAACTTAAGAGCCACAATCCAAAATTTTAGAGCCCTAGGTGTTGCGATGCAAGAGATTTCCTTAAAGCCACCATTACCAACAACTCTAATTTTAATTCTTCCTCCAAACCAGGTCATGTGGCTTTCTTTGGAGATCGAGGCCTCCTCTTGCAACTTTTATCAAACAGCTTGTTCGATTCTTTGTTGATCAAATATTCAAGAGGATTCAACAACAAGTCTTGTTATATGACTTTTTGTTGGCCCCTACTTCATCATTTATTTAGTGACCCTCCTCTTGGGACTTTTTGTTGCGGTAATCTACAGTTTTGAGAGATATTATCTCTTTGTGCAACCAAGAGATTTACCTTTTTATGAATTTTTCCCTTCTTTTTTTGTTGCTCTTCTCTTCTATATTTCTCCATTGATTGAATAATTAATTTTAATCAAATTTGACAACCTGATTTCAACAAATGATAATTTCAAAGTGTGAGATTGTCTTATTGATCCTAATTTTATGGCCATTATTTCCAATAAAAGGCCATTAAATTTTCTAAGGAATTGGTTTCCATAATTTTTATTATTTTCATGCAAATTCTGGCATGCATCTCAAATTATATTTGCATTAGAAACCCTAAAATCTAAGACTTCCTGCATCACTAGGACTAAGTTTGGTTGAAAATTCTATGGTTATTATAGAAGGTCTAATCAGGCACAACCTAGAGACATTTGCATATTCATTAGCAAATCAAATAGGAGGCCTCCCTCTTTTATATCATCAGACAGCCTGATTCAACTTGAATTGGTTTCTTTATAAATTTGCAGCTTCCATTCTATAGTTCACTTTCTATTAACCACTACTTACCGATGTAGTAAGATTTACAAATGATATTCAATTAGATAAGTATGCGATTGCACCAAAATATAAAAGATGAATGAAATAATTACAGGAATTAAGTGAAATTTTTGTAGGAAAAGCTTCTAGTTAATTGAACAGTCTAGAATTCTGTACGAACAATTACAATATACACAGATTTTTCCTTAAGTTCCATAATCTTGTGTTTGCCCAAGTCAAACCATGGCAAATATTCATTTATAGGTAGTATGGCATTCAAAGATTTTAAATGCAAAAAAAAAGTCAGTAACTTTTCTTGAATATGAGGAAAAATTAGCAACCAAATAAGAATAAATTCCAAAGCTGTAATTTCAAAAACTTATAGAAAAGAATACTAACTGCATATTTATAGAAGCATGGTCTCTATAACGTGAAACCCATTAATAGTATTCAAACAATTAGAGAAGACTTAAGAACCCAAAACTAAACAGACCCTCAAAAGCATTGAGTAAATCTGCAGCTAGTTTGTGCATATTGAGAAAGGCTGGGACTTCTCCCCTTGGATCAGACGGAGCTAGTTATGGTGTTTGGACAACAAGGCTAGGACCTTCTCCCCCTGGATGAAACGGAGATATGCGTTTCAATTGCATCTAGGAAGCACAAACACTTACCAATACCGTAAGTGTTCATATCAGACGCAACAAATCTCCTAAAGACGATATTAGGTTCCAAAATGGGTCCCACATAGCCCAACACTGTCTGGGCACGGCTCAATAAGCTGTAAGGACACATGTATGAGGGACAAATGAGATATCAATAAATCAAAGAGGGGCAAATGAGACATTAATAAATCACAAAATACATAACTAACAACAAGCAACAATTTTTAGTATTTTAGTGTTATTAACAAATGACAATTGTCACAAGTTAAGAAGTATATCTTTTATTATTAATAATGTTTATTTTTCTCTTGTTATTGTTAAATCTCTTTAGTGAAGCATATGCATATGATATTATACTCCACTAGGTGATGCCTTAAGTAAAAATACTAAAAATTACATCTTTATATTACAACAACATTAAACCTCTATCCCACTACGAGCTACATTAATCTTTTTTCAACATTGTGTCCTATTAAGAGTCAAATTCTCATTTAAACATAATAAAAAAAGTTTATTTATAATACTTTCTAACCAAGCCTTTTTAGGTCTACCTCCACATTTCTTAACATAAATCAGATTTAATACATCCAATCTCCTAACCGGGCCATCAAAACTCAAAAGATTGAAGTTTTATGTGACCAAACCATCTAAGGCGACTCTCTCTAATCTTATCTGTCATTAGAGCTACTCCAACATTTTCACGTATATACTTGTTTCACATTCTATCTCTAAGTGTAAATAACACATCCACCTAAGCATCCTCGTCTCTGCAATACATAACTTAATTTTTTGATTATCTTTTAATGATCACCATTTTGTGCGATAAAGCATTGCAGGTCTCACCACTATCTTATAGAATTTACAAAAATAATTTATAATAACATTATGTCTATGGTGTGCAAGCTCCTACTTTTTACAGTTATATCGGGTCGGTGTGGTTGTATCGTATCCAAGCTTCATCAATTGCATTTTTTTCTCAAGAACCTAACAAATCACCAAATGAATCTTTATTTCTTACAGCAAAGCATAGAACAATACCACCAACTGAAGTCCTAAGAAAGCTCGTGAAATCTAAACTTGTGCAACTTACTAGAGACTACTCCCAAGTCGTCTACTTTAGATTGACTCTAAATCCCACATCAAGGCAATCTAATGAAGTTTATATTTAGTCAGAATAGCAAGTGATCCATTTATTGTTTAACAAATAACCAGTAAAGATAAATAATTAAGAGAAATAATAAGGGCAGACAAGTAACAAATCATTTCTTGGGTCCATCAACTAATTAAGCACTTGATGTCTGCAAACAAATTAATTTGAAGTAGTCATTGAAGAGTTTGCCATTCAATTGTTTTTGACAGCTAACATCTGCATCATACTAATTTTGCTATAATTACTTGGAAGCAGCCATTAAATAATCCATCCTTATTGAGATTAGTTTGATATCAAAAGTCGAAAAGAAATTTTAAGTCCTGATTCCATATGAACTTCTTTTAAGTTTCTCTAAGATAACAAGATCAAATCAAAGTACAACCATCTTTTGCTAATAACCTAAGGTGTGATGTTTACTCATTTTTTGAGGCAGGGAAAAAAAATAAGTTGACTGGTAGTTCACTACTGTAGATTCATTTATGTCTTCTATAAACCCTTAACCTATGTCCAAAGCATATACCACAATCGCCCTAAATAATAATTGGGGAGAAATATATTTTCTTTATTTAGCAGAATGCATTAAAAAATAATTAGACCATTCTGTATCATTTTCCGCATCTGTGTCTAGTTTCCTTATAATCAAACTTTAAAAAGACCATGATGGCATTGTTGATGAGGTTGTCAATCAAAATGTCCACCTCAGCCTTTAAAGTAAATGTACACAGGAAACAATCTAACATGAAACATGTGACTAAAAACAAGTAAAATGTTGCAGAAGTCTTTATTTACTTTCCACCAATCTGTCGAACCAGAAACTTTGGCAGTCTGCGACTCAATGAAACGTTTGTTAACAGCTTCAACAATGGAATCAATCATTTCTCCACCATAAGCATTAGCTATCTCCTCCAGAAGCAGAGAGCCTGAAACAATTTTACAACCACCGTCAAGAAATAAAGAAAAAGGATTCATGTAGCCGACCCCACATAGTGGAACAAAGGCTTGATTTTGTTGTTGTTGTCGTCGTCAAGAAATAAAGAAAAACCGATAAAGAGATGCAAACAAACAATAGCTATGAAAACAGCATAATTAACTCAAATAAGTTATAAACTGTAATCAACTGAAAATATTGTTACTTAATTTTGTTGAATTTTCCTTGGAGGAAGAAAAGCATCCATCATATAAAATTAAATAGGAAGACCTCATTATTTCAATCAGTCATAAGTATGACATTGAGGCACCAACCAAAATTATGTGAAAAATAAAGAAGGTTTATAATCAGCTATAGATAATAAACCTAATATTTTTAAATTCTCTTATTAGAAAGCAAAGCATTCATCATATGTACACCCCAAACACCAAGGAATGCCTAATTACTTCAATAGAACCAAGGAATTTAAAGTTTGAAATAAAACAATATCATCTAACAAATCAAAATTCATTTCATCCCGAATACGCATCAAATAATAGAAAATTTTGCATAAACTTGAAAATGAGGTGGGCTTTTGTGTGCATGAGAGAGAGAGAGATGGAATTGAACGAGCAATTCCCATGAAAAAACATTATTTATGATAGCAAAGGTGTCAAAATAAGTGTACAGGTTCAAGACCATTACTAAATTTGATAGTCAAAACCTACAATAAACCACTTAAAAAAGAAGTTAATGAACCTCACTGTAATAGGTCAAGATTTCAGGAGTCAATAATCGTTGGTATCACTGGATTTCCTAACATCGTCAGCTGAACGTATTCTTTTAATATCAACCAAAACTGTGCGTCATCCATTCAAACCATGCTCTATTCATTTTAGGATTCTTAAAAATTTTCTCAGTAGTCCCTAACTTTGCATTCAAGGTCTATCTAGTTCATAAGAGACGTCTTATTCCAGATCGTGTGGTCTTTTAGAAATGCAATGCAATTCAGAATAAAGCCATGGGATTTGGTTTGTTATTGAATCCTGTTACTCCGCAACAACCATATATAGTGCTAACATCATTCACTCTTGATATAAACAAACTTCAGTACAGTGCAATTGGTTAGGCATATACTCATAAACTCCCCTGGAATTGCAAGCTAAACCTGACATTCATCCACTCTTAATACAACTTTTGTACACTATTTACTTTTGAACCACCCACAAAATACTTGTAATTACCTTCACTTTCCTGTTATATCGGACTTACATGCAACTTCTCACATGTAAGTCTTATCTCTAACACATACCTGGCTTCTACTCTGTCCATTGATGGTCTCATTTTAATTTCATTGTGAAGCTTGCATAAATGTTATGATATGCAAATCAGACTTCTCAAAACATAGAGAACAGAAAGTACATAAGAAACACCAAAGGATAAAGTGAACAACCTTTTGAGTAAGGAATACGAAAAACATCATTTTGTTCCTTTATAGCAAGCGTTGATGCATTTAAACTTTATATACCTGATACACGGCAACTATAAGTAACATCATTCTCATCAGCAACATATTGATTTGCATCCAATAACCATGTATGTACCTAAGAAGTCAAACGAGATTACATAATGCAAAAATCAAGGAAATATATAATATAAGAAAAGAAGCAGATTTTATTATGTGAACCAATACCAAAAAGCTGAAACAATTAATCATTTAAACTAAGCCTTTCTCCATATTAACACTAGGCATTAACCATTCAGATTCTAGAAAAACTCCCGTGACTTGTAGACACAGCTTATTTGGATTTCCAACGCCCTACTACAGTATATTAGGTGTGCCTTCCAAATTCTAAATTTGCCCAAATTTACCATTAGCTCAATACAACCATCTACCAAATTATCTTCAAAAATGCTCCAATTCTTGCAACCCATATGCTGCTCAAAGTTGCACCATTCAAATATCTTCGGAAAATACCTCGATCAAGTTCTAATAGACTACAGGGAGAAACTTTGTTACAACACTACAAACCAGCACCATTAAAACTGTTCAAAAGTCGTTTAAGTTGACCAGAACATAGATTTGAAAATACAAAGGTGCAGTCAGGTTTTACATCATACCACTATTTAGCAGAACAAAACATCACATTCATGAAAAGCAAAGCAACTTTCCAGATTTTACAACGTGCATTTTCACCCCTTTTTTTTGTTTTCTTTCGGCTTCCAGTCAGTTGGATGACAAATCCTGGACCAAGACATATAACTATTGGTTCTGAAAAGCAAAGCAACTTTCCAGACAAAAACAGTTGAAAGATCACAAAAATCACATATCAATCCTTTATGGTTGCATAAGAAACTTCAAAAGTAAGAATGCATTGCCTCTTTGTTGCATCTCTAATGATTGATAAATGATTCCTCAAAACTTTTTTTTTTTTGTTATGGCATTTAGGGACTCTATGGGCATATTCTACTGAACAGATTTCAGAAAAACAAGGAATCGGATTCAACAATTACAAATTATTCACCTGGAAAAAAAATAAAATAAAATGAAAAAATAGCAAGAAAGTGCAAATAACGGTCCGGCGTAAGCTCTTCTATAACTATTAAAAACATATTACACTGAGCAAATTTCAAAATCTTATACGATTTCTATCATTGTTTGCAATATTAGTGCTAGCTATAAAAAGGTGCAATTCCAGTATGTTTGGCAAATTCTCAAATTATTTCATGGTCCACAGGCACAAAAGAATAAAATTCAGTGTTAAAGATTCATAAAGCCACCCTAATAGTTAGATGAGGCTTAAAAAGATGCTGAGGATGAAGAAAAAATCAAGTTTATATTCTTCAGTCTTTCTATATTCTTCAATGTGGCTTCTCCAATACTGAGTAGACATCCTAATTCATTTGACAATGAGATGTTTTAATCGTTTAGCAAAATAGAAAATCATCACTGTATGTCAGTATGACCCAAATAAAAGCATTCAAGTAGGCTTCAGAACACCACCGTTCATTCATCTTTAGAGCTGCATTTGGGGCTTGTCAAACTTTATGCAATTCCTTTCATAGTTTGATTCATTCATGTTCATAACAAGAGGGACAGTTTCAAAGTTGGAAATACTCAATGTTTAAAGTTCTAATTATGTAATGGTACAAGTTACTAAAGACCAAATTAACAACTTCTATATTTCACACCCTGAAGCCCTTTGATTTTCAAGAATGCAACTTGTGTAATACTTGATGTGCTTTCACATATCACCACGGTATGTCATTCTGCATCATACTCGGCGTTCAGATTAGGAATAATGAATACTTTTTCTGCCATTCATGCATTTAAAACATTGCATGGTGTCAGGCTGTCAGCCAAACAATAAGTTTCCTAAATTTGCTTTTTCTTATATATTTATATTAATCAAAGCAAATCAAGTTTTCTCAAAGAAAAGAAAGTGACATCAAGCCTTCCTAATTAGACAAAATCCATGTTTTGGGTAAGTCTCAATACAAAAAGAAATGCAAACTATGATGCTTAGCAACCAAATCAACAATCAGCTCAACCTATTCCATCACCGGCATACCCATAAATCAATCCCTCTGCCTAGTAACCACTGTTTCCCTCTTTGATCTTTATACACAACATAGCATGATCCACAAGCACATTATGTGTTACCTGAGGTATCAACTAGACTCACACAAACTGAAAACAACATAACAAAGGAGGTCCTCCGAGCAAATAACAAATACCAATTCTGTCGCATCATCTTTCAATGCTCTAGAATGAATGAATAAGAACTTTTATTTATGTAGGAGATAACTTGTTAATCTCAAGCAAAAAATAAAACTAATTGAAGCACTGAATAAATTGAAATAAATAAAATAAAGCAATACTTTATTAAAAATATATTGGATGCATTAAACAACTTTCCAAACTGCAATACAATCGCTTAATTAAACATACTTGTTCCTCTGTCATCTGTAGAAAAGCTATGGTATAGTAAACAAGCTCTTTTATGCTTCCTCCAATGACCTACAATACCCAATTCCAAATATAACATCTCCTTTTACATCTATGATTAAATAAAATCACACGGTTGACAAATAATGACCAAAAAATGTTAAGGAAAACAAATAAGAGTTAGCCATGTACCTTTGCCAATTTAGAATTTCCCACAATGGTTAATAGAGTCTCGAACAACTAGACAATGACAAAAGGATACAAATGATCAACTAAAAAGAAATAGCATGAAATCCGACACAAGTGTTACCATGAAAAAACAGCAGTTTCTCATCATAACCCCAGTAAATTCAACAAGTAGTGTAAAGTGCATTGAGAGTTGATACACAACTCAAAAAATGTATTAAGAATCATTTAAGAAACAATATTGAGTTAATAATAGAGTCAAAAAAGGCGAAAATTTTACAAATGCAAGTTATCCCAAAGCCAAGAATGCAATAAAGCTCTATGTTAACTGCTTAGTTGAACAAGTTCAATATCTCACAAATAATAGATTAAAAATAAAGCAATTAATTGAGTATTCAGCAGCAACAAAGCACCTGAATAATAAAGGCATCTAGACTTCTCTCATTACCATCAGAATCAAATCTACCAGAACCCGAATCTTCAGTGCGGTGAATAGATGAAATCTGGTACACATCCAATGCTGAAACAAATGTCTGCCACAAAGATGACAAAATGACTGGACCAAATTGCAAGTCAATACCTTGAGACAGAGAACATACAAGTGTAATAGAAGCAGAAGAAATCACATTATTTGCACTTCATATACCCCCATAGTTACCTGAAAATCTAGCTTCTATAAGGCTAGGAAAATTTTGAACAAGCTGAAGTAAACATTTCAGGACCTGATAATTTGGCAAAGAGAATGCATGTTACAAAGAAAGATAAACATAAGCCTAAGTGTAACTCGATCCAAAAGGTATTCACCTCCATTCTCATGCTCCACTCGTCCGGATCTTCTGATTGCAAAGGAGGTTGTAAAATAATAGAAAATTGCTCCATAAGGGAATTAACCATTTCCAGCATCAGCCCAGCAGTTTCTGTCTGAAGCAGCAAATCTATTATCACCTCCATGGAAGCAAACCAATTCTCAAGAACCATATGCCTACAAAAATCTTAGCAGATAAAGTTTGGAAAATAACAAAAAGGGTACAACAAGAACATACCTTATACACACCACTCATGGATCCCAGAACAGAAATGCAAGCATGTACTATTGCCAAAGCTTTTGTTCTGAGAGATTTCTCATATAGCTGCAAAAATCAAAACAAACGACAAATATTTGGTATGAAGAGCATGTCACTTCACAAAAAAGAAGCTAGTACTTTGAATTAATGTGATGAAATAACAGATATAATTCATATGCATTGCTAAAAGAATAACCATTTAGTCAAACAATAGCATGCACTCACATGAGGTGCAGAAATTATTGAATGCAAGCGAGGGTACAGAGCGGGTAATAATTTAGGCACTAAAGTATCATCCAATTCACCAGAGAGGAGAGCCAAACATTTTAGAGCCCCATGAACTGAGAGAAGATAGCAACGAAAAATTAGTATGAAAAGAATAATTACAAGCATTAGATCTGCAAGTTTTATCCTGTCAATTCAGACTTACCTTCAGAAAACAAAGACAAAATCAACCTTTTAAGAATAAGAACAAGATAAAGCATATTTAGTAAGGTACCTCCACTGATAGTTTTTTGCTCGCTAATCAACTTTAATAGAAAAGGCAATAGCTCAGGCCAATCATCTGGCCAATCATATTGAGCGATGGAAACTATAGCCATGCTAATTGCTGTGCGAATTTTCCTATTAGGATCATCCAATGAAGGAAGCAATAGTTGGTGCATGATCCTCTGGAAAATATGAGGTATTAGTAAGAAGATATGTATATAATAAGGTTTAACTTCTTAAGAAAAGCATGTTCTCATAGGCATTATAAGATAATAAATAAAGAGCATACGAAATATGTATCTAGGCAGCAGCAAAAGCCTAACATTCTGTAAATTATTTTAAGCTATAAGAAACATATATAGTATAGAGATGACCTTCTCTTCTGGTGAAACCACAGGATATATAAAATTCTCTTCACCTTCTTCCCAATGTTGCTTTATGAACTGCTTTAGCAAAACAGCCGCCAGGTAAAAATTGTTAAGTATTTACAGAAGAATGAGATAGGAAAAGTTATGAACGAAAACGTTTCATTATATAGGGAACACATATATAATTTCAAAAGAAAAGGATATCTGCCGCAGACCAAAAGGAATGTCCTTGTTAACGGTGATCTTGGTAAGAGCAGCCCCATAACCTTTGAGACAGATAAAAAATCACATTTTTTTATTGGTTATCAGTCGAAAAACGAAAAAAATTGAACATACAGAACAATAACGATTTATAAAAATGCATTGTGAATCAAAAATATCAATATTGAAATAAACTTTATGACTCTATCTAAGTAATTTTGACTTCAATGGCAAATATAGACAGCTGCAAAGTGAACATTCACAGTAAGGATATTCTGTCAAGATTAACATTGGCATTTCCTCGATGAAATGATCACGATGGTATCTTTCACTAGCAAATTGCTGACCTCCAACAACCAAAATGCCAAATTTAAGATGCAGAATACTCACGGACCATCAAAAGAAATATAAACTTCAAATTATTGAATAAAAAACCAACAACATTCAGCATTAGGACTGGAATAAACAAGAACCACTGTCACTGGATATCAAACGAAAACACGTGTACATACAACAAATCCTTCAAAGCAAACCTGGCTGCAGAGAAGCTTGCTGAAGCGAGGCCTCAGCAAATGAGCGGACTTCGCGACTAGTATCAAGCGTTGCGGTGAGACAGTCGATGAGCCATGTCTGGTCCTGATCTGCAGGTGAAGCCATGCCGAAAAAAACAAACCTAGAAAGCAAGGTACACTACCTGTCGGTGGCAAGTTCTCAATGGAGAGGCAGTTATTGGCTGCAAGCCGGATTTAATGGAGCTTACGTGATCGTTTGGCCGGCGGAAATAAGACAGCGGAAGCCGGAGGGGGTTTTAGGGTTTTATATAGGCCGAGGAAATCCATGTCATCCGACCCAAAGCATGGGAACTTTTATTTGGTCTGGTCACCTGATCTAATATAGTTCTGCATTTGGACGTCATTAAAATAGTGTCACGTATTCTCATTATTTATCTCGCGGCACAACAACACTGACCTGGAACGGAGACGGGATTGCTATGTTCGCGTGTTGCAAGGTATTTGCTCGGTATTTGCTCAGTATTAGTCGATTTTGCTCGACAATAATGAGAAATATCATTCTGTGAAGACCAATACCGAGCAATAACGAGAAATACCGAGTAATACCTAGTATTTCTCGATATTGCTCGATATTTCTCGGTATTGGCCTTCACATAACGATATTTTTTATTATTGTCAAGAAATACATAGCAATACCGAGCAATACCTAGCAATACCGAGCAATACGTGAACATAGCAATCCCAGGTCAAGTCGTCGGGCCGCGCGGTATTGAGTAAGACCACGTGGCGACATGTTATTGGCGTCTGAACGTAGAGCTACGTTAGGTCACCTAACCTATAATTGTTCAAAGCATGGACGCCAAACCTCACAAGGCGATTCGGAGAATTTTTTTTTTTTTTTTTTTTTAACTATGTGTCAAGCTTGATCAAATTTATTTAGGGATTTTTACATACATACTACTTTATAACATATGTAACACCTAATTCTTAAATATTACACTCATACCACATATTCTCTATTTTTACAACAAAATTACCACTTCGTTAACAACGATACCTCACTCCATTTTATCTTCTTTCCCGCCTGGGCTTTCCACGGGAGAACAAGTTTTTTCCCGCATCAGCTGCTATGTCTGAGTGTGTATCATCCCGATTTTTTCCAGAATCCCTTCGTATTTGCTCTTCCACCGTAGTTGCTCTTCCACCCGTATCATCACGATTTTTTCTAGAATCCCTTCGTATTTGCTCTTTTACCGTAGTTGCTCTTCCACTGTAGCTACTCTTCCTCGCGAGCTACCTTTCCTTCCTGATCTGCTTTAGCCAAGTGAAATTTCTCTGCTTCTTTATTCATGCATGAACTTTTTTTTTTTTTTATCTTATAGCATTGCCTAGTCTTTGTCTTCATTATTAAGGCCAGCAAACCTGTGCTGCTAAAAACAGAAAATATTCTCTAAGTAAGGTTCTGCATGTGCTCCACTTGCTCTAACCATCGGCAACAGCTTTTACTCATTCAATATCAACCATTCACTTAACATAGCATGTGAAATCTCTACCGTTGATAAGGATACTTGTATATATAAAAAATGAAATCAATGTACAAAACAGGGGAGAAAAATATGACTTTACTGAAGTAATGAATTCACCCTTACTGAAACTTTTCTACATTATTTATCATTTGTCTCCCACATGGTGCAAATGGTGAACAGTCATAAATTATTCGAAAATGAATCATGTTTGTTATTCTTTTATATTTTAGAATTTTGGCAACAATTAACAATGTGGTGTTTGATTTGTCATCTTATTTCAGCTTGAAGTTAAGGAAAAAGGACAACCTAGTGGCATAATTCGGTAATGTAGGACTGTGGTGGCAAAGTATGATTTATGTGGAGATAAAAAAGAACATATGTTAGAGCTAAGGATTTAGTACGCGGTATAAAAAAGAAGTTCCTTAACATTGATAGTTTATTATATTGATCATTCTATCAGCAATGAACAAACTCTACAACAATTTATGTACCTATAACAAGCAACAGTTAAAAAATTACAATGCAAACTCTGTAACTATGAACACATTCGGTAACTTTGTTATGACAATGCAAACTAGTAAAACAATTTCTATGTGATTAAAACACATTTTGCTTGAGATCAAATACAAAGCAGTTGAAAGATTACATGCAGCTCACGAGAGCCATAGGATTATGCCATAAGAGCTACGAGGAAGATCTGCATCCTGCGAGAGGAAGATCTACGAAGATTTGTAGCCCGCGAGAGGAAGAACGGCGAATATCTGCAGCCCGCGAGAGAAGAGCCGCGCAGCTTGCGAGAGAAGAGGATTTCACTGTAGTTAGGGCTAGCCGAATGAAAGAGTGAGGTCTTATTTCAACGGAGTGGTAATTTTGTTGTGAAAATAGAGAATAGGTGGTAGGAGTGTAATATTTAAGAATTAGGTGTTAAATATGTAATACACAAGTTATAAAAGTGGTATGTATGTAAAAATCCCTTTTATTTAAGATGAAAATATTATAAAATAATAGCAACAGTTTTTTAAGAAAGAAAAAAATTACAAAAATGTCAAAAGAGAAAAATTCCTATTGTGTCCAGGAGTATTCACGGTAGTAGAGAAATATAAAATTAACGTCTTAGCTTTGTATGATAATATGGAACGCAATCAAATAAGAGAGAGGGTGCTTCAATTATAGGGTCACCAAGATTTTTACGTGGAAAACCCCTGAAAAAGGGGAAAAACCACAGGGCCTAGCCCAGTTTGAAAGAATCCACTAATATTGCAGTTGATTACAAATGAGGCCCTTCCTTGGGGAAGGCCTTAGCTTGATATACATCTTATAGTGTACATCACATGATGAAAATATAAATAGTCACTGTTGATGTATTCATTTGGTCTGAAGAATCGTAGTTGGTGGGTGATGTAAGTCGGATGGACCATGGTCGGCAGGCGACGGAAGTCAGGACTGTAGTCGGTGGGTGACGTAAGTCGGAAGGACCGTAGTTGGCGAGCGATGGAGGTCGGAAGAACTATAGTCGGTGGGCGACGTAAGTCAGATGGATCGTAGTCAGCGGGCGACGAAGGTCGGAAGGACTGTAGTCGGTGGACGACGTAAGTCAGAAGGATCGTAGTCAGCGGGCGATGGAGGTCGGAAGGACCGTAGTCGGCGAGCGACGGAGGCCGGAAGGACTGTAGTCAGAGGGCGACGCAAGTCAAATGGACTGTAGTCAGTGGGCGATGTAAGTCAGAAGGATTGTTTCTTGTAGAAGTCTAACAATGGACAGAAACCCAGTATCAAATAGTCCGGCGAAAACCCGACAACATGCATAAGTCTAGCGTTGGGTAGAAATATGGAGACGAGCGGAGGTTTATCATTGGGTAAAAGTCTGAATTTAGTTGGCGGCCGGGGAGAACTTTGACGTTAGATGGTACTCGGGTAAAACTCAAGAGTCACTTGGAGATCGGACAAAGTTCTGGCATCACTTGGGCGTCGGGCAGAATTCATACAGTTGGCGGCCGGGGAGAACTCCGGCGTTAGATGGTATTCGGGAAAAACTCCAAAGTCACTTGGAGATCGGGCAGAGTTCATGCATCACTTGGGCGTCTGGTAGAATTCTAACATCACTTGGGCGTCGGGCAGAATTCTGGCGTCACTTGGGCAGAATTTCAACATCACTTGGGCGTCGGGTAGAATTCCGAAGTCACTTGGGCGTCGGGCAGAATTTCGGCGTTTCTTGGGCTTCAGACATAAATCCGGCATCACTCGGGCGTTGGGCGGAATTTCGACCGTGGTCGAGGGGGAGTTTCTTCCCTCCTATCATTCTTCTCTTCTTCTTCTTCTTCTTGCTTCCCCTCAAAAGAAATGAGGGGTCTATTTATAGATTTATAGAGTGGCATGGCCTGTAAATAGGTGAGAGATCAAGGGCAAATGTAGAGTGGTTCGATGAGCGGCCGATATTGAATCCATTGATCATGTATCGTTCGTTAGACATTTGAAGGTCTTAAAGATGTCAGAATTTGGCGATCTTGGACTCGTTGGATTCGTCTTGTCGAGCCGCTCGATTCAATTATAAGCACGTCATATTTGAAAACTGTTTGGTAACTCAAATTGTGGTTTGAACTTTCCATCAGCACTATGGGTCCTTGATTTGGACTCATTTGGGCTCGGATTAAGTCAAATTTTGTGTTGTCGGGTTTGTATTTCTGATACGCTCAGTTTGACTATAAGTTTACTGAAATTGGAGTTCATGTGATCTCGGATTTAATTTTTGAAGTTTCCGATTTGATTTTGTCTCAAGATTCGTGTCCGATCAAGATAATTTTTTGATAATATATCAAGTCCTATAAGAAGGGAAAATAAAAAGCCCTACAAAATAGGCCAACAATCTTGAAAATCTACTTTAAAAAGGAGAAAAATACAAGTTTATAATACAAGCAACCCAACTCCAACAAACCTTCTTTCCAACTACATGACCAAACTATAAAAAATTAGCATGGACCGCCATCAATTTCACTCAAGACAATAGAAAAAAAAGCAAATTCAACCCTTTTATAATCCGTTCTTCAAACCTCATAGTGGAATAGAAGTCTCTGCATCCACCCAACAGCTTCAAATCAAACCAGTTCATCTCAAGTAATACAAAAAATGGATCACACATAAATCAAAAACAAAAAAATTTATAAGAAGAAACAAAATAAATAATCCAAATAAAAAATATCTATAGCGCCCTCCTTCAAGACTTAGAATAGGAAAGCCTCAGCAAAACAGCCCAATCAGTAACAAATAAAACTTCCACCCAAATCGAGTGCATGCAGAACAATATCCAACCTTGGTTGCTAGAAATAACCTGCCAATATATTGACCTGATTACCGAACCAACCATCCAAGAGAATAAAAAAAAGGAGGTTCCCAACATCATAGTCCAACCACCAACTAAAACAAACACCTGAACAACCCTAAGCCAACATAAGTCAAAGGGTCACTTAGGACAATCTCTAGACGTCAGCACCAACTCTTCAAAACCTTAATAAAAATGTCCTCATCACTCTTTCATAAAATGACCAAACTCATGGATTTAAAATTGACTAGGTGGTTAGCTGGCTCCCCAATCTAGGCCGAGATAAGTCAAGGTTTTGCATTGTATTAGTTAGGTTCAGGTCACCATTATGTGGTGCACAATTTAGATTTAGGATCCGGGGTGAATTTTGAAGCAAAAGATCCCAACCTCTGGAAATATAATCCTAAATTTCTAATAAAATATTTAACTCAAATTAAATGTTCTTTCAATCTAAAACTTAAAACTTAACGCTTAA